CCGCAGACCAGGGCCCCCCTCTGCAGACGGACCCCATCGCACCCAGCACAGCCACCCCGGTCCCGCCCACGCAGTGAGGCTGCTCCGCCCACCGCCCGGAGATGCCACCCGACAGGACAAAAACCTTCGCAACCTGTAAAACCTGCCTGGGATTGGTTGGGATGCGGGAGGGGGGTGGAGATTTCGTTGGTTTCAAAAAACACGTTGATCACGGGGTTAAAAAGGAATCGACGTGTTCAGCCCTCAGTCCCGCTGTGTCTGTCTGTCCTGCCCCCTCGCTGCCACCCCCGGGCTTTTTTTGTATCCGATCGTCCTGAGACTTTTATTTAAAGGCGCTGAGAACCACCTCTGACAGCGCTGAGGGGCCTGTTGGGGCGGAGGTGACGGCTATTTATAGAAGGCTCTGAATTTACCTGGTTCCTGGGCATTTAAAGCTCTCGTGTCTTCTCTCTCTCTCTCTCTCTTCTTTTTTTTTTAATAATAAAAATAAAATAAAAATTCCAAGTTCCCCGGGGTGGGAAGAAGCGGCACCGTGTGGGGGATCTGTCTGCCCGGGACGGGGAGGGAGGGATGGAGTCCGCTGTCCCCTCCCTGCAGTGTCCCTTTGGGGCATGTGGCTCATGGTGTCCCCGTTTGTTGGGCGTGCGGAAAGCAGGATTCAGCCTCCAGGCTCCCACCCCCTTTCCCAAAGCAAACGTGACTGCAGGGGACAGTGCCCCTGGACTTGGAGGTCATGGGACCCACTTGTGCTCAGTGACCTTCCTACCGTGGTGACTTCTTTGTTGATAATTCTTCCTGAACCTTTTATCCCAGGGGATCCTAGTTCTATGGACTCGAGGTGTCTCGGTGACCTAAACCAGCGTAACAATCAGGGGAGGACGGGGAGAGGTCTGCCATCTGCCACTGAGCTGACAGAGACAACGAGGAGTCCGGTGGCATCTTAAAGACTAACAGATTTATTTGGGAATAAGCTTTCGTGGGTAAAAAAACCCACTTCTTCAGATGCATGAAGTGAAAATTACAGATACAGGTATAAATATACTGGCACATGAAGAGAGGGGAGTTACCTTACAAGTGGAGAACCAGTGTCGACAAGGCCAATTCAGTCAGGGTGGATGTGGTCCACTGCCAATAACTGATGAGGAGGTGTCAATTCCAGGAGAGGGTGAGTTGCCCTTGTAGTGAGCCAGCCACTCCCAGTCCCTATTCAAGCCCAAATTGATGGTGTTAAATTTGCAAATGAATTGTAGCTCTGCAGTTTCTCTCTGAAGTCTGTTTCTGAAGTTGTTTTGTTGAAGGATGGCTACTTTTAAATCTGTAATAGAATGTCCAGGGAGATTGAAGTGTTCTCCTACTGGCTTTTGGATGTTGCCATTCCTGATGTCCGATTTGTGTCCATTTATTCTTTTACGTAAGGACTGTCCGGTTTGGCCAATGTACATGGCAGAGGGGCATTGCTGGCACATGATGGCATAGATCACATTAGTAGACGTGCAGGTGAATGAGCCCCTGATGGTGTGGCTGATGTGGTTGGGTCCTCTGATGGTGTCGCTAGAGTAGATATGGGGACAGAGTTGGCACCGGGGTTTGTTACAGGGATTGGTTCCTGGGTTGATGTTTCTGTGGTGTGGTGTGTAGTTGCTGGTGAGTATTTGCTTCAGATTGGGGGGCTGTCTGTAAGCGAGGACTGGCCTGCCTCCCAAGTCTGAGAGAGTGAGGGATCATTTTCCAGGATAGGTTGTAGATCGCTGATGATGTGCTGGAGAGGTTTTAGCTGGGGCCAGTGGTGTTCTGTTATTTTCCTTGTTGGGCCTGTTCTGTGGTAGGTGACTTCTGGATACCGTCTCGCTCTGTCAGTCTGTTTCCTCACTTCCCCAGGTGGGTATTGTAGTTTTAAGAATGCCTGATAGAGGGGCACTAGGGGACGAGAGCTGAGGAAGCGTTGTTCTAAGTCAGCCATAAAAATGTTGGCATATTGTGGGGCCATGCGGGGACCCAGATTGTCCCAAATCTGAAATGGTTGTGGGTGAGGACAAAGTCACAAAGCTCAGGCACCAGGTTTTTACCCACGGAAGCTTATGCCCAACTAAATCTGTTAGCGTTTAAGGTGCCGCCGGACTTCTCGTCGTTTTGGTGGATACAGACGAACACAGCTACCCCCCTGATTCTGAGCTGTGACCCACTGGAAAAAAAAGTCAGTGCTCCCCCTGCTGTTGGCTCTCTGTCACGGCGACCCCTAAGTGCTGGGCTTAGGCGCCGGCTTGTATTTTAGAGTTTCCACGAGGCTCTGCAAAGCCACAGATAAAGCGAAGGCCAAGATCTGAGCCTCTCTCCCCTCCCTGCTACAAGGGCCGTGTACCCTGCTGGCCCTGGGCATCCCTTGCTAAGGGCATGGGGCTCACGTTGGCCAGGCTCCCCCCTCGGTGCAGTGGGGGGGCTCCAGGCTCTCAGTGTGGCCGTGGGGGGGGTTTCCATGGCCACGTCCCCTCTCACTTTGGCACTGGCTGTGGGAGTGGCGCAGGGGGCACTAGGTGCTGGACGGCAGGGGCACCGAGCTGCCCCGGGCCTCGCTGGGCACGTTTGGCCAGGGGTACCGGCTGCCCCGCCAGCTCCTCGCCCGAGGAGGACGACGCTGCTGGAGTGCAGAAGGGGAGGGCAGAACAGAGCTGCGGGCTGGGAAACGGCGTCTAGGGGGAGGCTGAAGTAGGTTGATCTGGTTTGGCTAAGAGAAGGGCAAGAGGTGCGTGAATCCCAGTCTGCAAGGAGCCCCGGGGCCCAGGGCTGGACACCAGCGGGTGCCGTTCCAGCTGGCAGAGCAGGGCCCACAGGCGGCGAGCGGAAGTCAGACACAGTGCAGCTAGCGAGGAGGTGCCGTGGTGAACAGGGAGGGGCACTGCCCGTGGGACTGGCTTGTTGGGGGCCAGGCTGCACGCACTGGTGCTTGGCGGTTTTCCATGGAGGTGGGAGGGGTCCTCAAAAAGCTCCCCAGGAGTTGGGGGCTGCAGGTCGTTCTCTGGTTTGGCAGACGCGGGAGCCAGACGGGCACTTCTCACCTTGGGCGGGGAAGCAAACAGGGCTGGGGGTGCCCTGGACGGGGGGCAGGGGAGACAGCGCCTCTCGCTGACCAGGCCACGTGCTGGTTTAACGGGAGGAGCCCCACAGGGCATTTCTCACCTCCCTCTGCCTGGCGGGGTGGGGGGGATATGACAGGGCGCGTGGGATGGGGGCTGGAGCTCTGAAGGAGGGGCCAGGTGCATTTGAGGACAGGGGCTCCAGGGCTACCCATGAGCCCCAGTGAGCCCGTCTCCCATGGGGCCGCTCCAAGCGCCCAGACTCACATGTCTGGGGGGCGGGGGAGAGGGAGACTGGTCCTGGGCCGAGTGGGACCAGGGAGGCGGAGGCTCCAGGAAGGCCCAGCTGGGCATTACAGGGGTGGGGGATGCTCGTCCTGCTGGAAGCCAACGTGGTGCCCCCCGGTGCTCGTACCCGTGGGCAGCCCGGGCAGGACCCCTGCTGCATGGCGGGCGCTGCTCCCGAGTACCGACGAGCAGCAGCTCCGTGGGGCGCAGCCTGGGGCTGAGGTGGGCCCAGACCGGGCGTGTGCCAGGCAGGGCCAGACCCAGGTGGCTCTGAGCCCGCAGGGCTGCCGGGAGAGTGGCCGGCTTCCTGCTTCAGTTCCTCCCTCAGCCTCTGCCCCACGCATTAACCCGGGGCAGCCCTGGGGGCACGTGGCACTGTTGGCTTTATGAGGGGCTGCAGCCCCCACCCTGCTGCGGGGGAACTGGGGGGGCAGGATGCTGGGAATGTGCGTTTCCTTCCATGTAAGGACCTGGCGGCTGGGACGCTCCCAACGACGGCCAGGCTAAAAATAGACACCGCTGGGAAGAGTCGGAGCGGCAGGAAACGCCGTGCAGGCCTGGGCTAAGGTGTGGCAGCCGGGGGCTGATTGGGGCCAGCAGCCGGGCAAGGTGCTTTGTGCCCGTGCCTCAGTTTCCCTGTTGTAAGATGCCGAGGGGGGGGTAATAGTGTCCCCCCCGTGGTGCCAGTGCGGACAAGCGGATAGTGGTACAGTGCGGAGCAGTGACACACACCGAAGGGGGGCAGGAGCCCCACGGCACTGCAGCAGCCTGGCGAGCGGCAGGATTATTTTGGGGGATTTGAGTGCCTCCCCCCTCAGCCCCCTATTTAATAGCCTCCCTCGCTGCCTGCCAGGGGCAGTGTGTGCCTGCCCCCCACGTGCCGCAGGTCGCTGGAGCCAGGTAACTACCTCCCCCCCAGCTGTGGGTCACGCTCAGCCCTGCCCCTCATCAGCGGACACCAGCCATTTTAATTCCATCGCCAGCCAGCGGGTTTGGGGTACGGTGGGATTCCTGTGCCAGGCAGGGGTGGGAGTGGGGGTAATGGCCACCCCAGCTCTTTTATGCACCTATGTGGGACCTAGAGGGCAGAACCCACCCCTGCCACTCAGCAGCCCCCCAGCTAGTCCCACCTCTGCTACTGACCTGCTGGGAACACCCCCCCCTTTTGTGCCTCAGTTTCCCCACACCATTGTAAAGGGCTCTAAGAGCCAGTATTACTAGAGGCAGGGTCCAGGGGTGTCCTCACCACCTCCACCCAGCACCAGCCCCTACTCCTTCCCCCCAGCACCCCCCCTTTGTCCCTCAGGCCACGGCCTCCTGCTCAGAGCAGACGGGGGTCTCCAGCCCCTGCTGCGCTGTCATTCCCCACGGAAGGGGCGGAGCTGGCACACCCCATCCCTCTAGAGACCAGGTCCAGCTGCCAAAGGTAAAAGGTGCCCGTCGGTCTGGGGCAGGGGAACAGAGCCCTCCCACCTCCAGAAGTTCCACCTGCAGGCATCCCCGGCTGTGAGCTTCTGGCCTGGACCACCTGGGCACATAACAGCCAGCTGCGTTTTCCCGTAACCCGTCTCTGGCTCCTTTCTCCCCCCCCCTCCAGGCGCTGTGTTCACCCCCCACTTTCCAAACAGGCCCGAGAGCCACCACTTTTCAAACCGTTTATTAAGTGAAAGCAGCTAGAAGGAGAAACAACTTTGCACAGCTGCAGGGGTTAGAAGGGGGTGGGGGGAACCCCAGAAAGAAAACAGGGATCACTCTTCCTCCCCCCCGAGCCCCAGGGAGCACCCCTGGGACAGACCCCTGCAGCACGGGAAGTCTCCTTGTGGTCCACACAGGCAGGAAAAGTTTACAGAGGGCGTAGAAAAGGCACAGAACAGAATAAACCTGAGCACCCGGCCGCGAGCCAAGGCCTCGGGGGGGGGGAGGGGAGGATGGGACAGGAGGAGATCTGCTGGACTCTTCATCCGCTCAACACCATCCGGACCAGCTCTGTGGAGAGAAGGGTGCGCATGAGACCAGGCGGCTGCCCCACAGCGGGAGAGGCGCCTTGGTAGCTGGGGGAGAAAGGGTCCTCGGGGCTAAGCCGACCAGGGCCTGGGGCTTCCGGGCAGGTTCTGCCAGGGTTTGCAATAGGGGAAAAAAGTCCACTAAGGAGAGTGTTCAGCAACTGTGCTCTAGTGCCCACCTTTAACCCCCCCCCTTAGACAGCCCTGGCCCCCTGGCTCCCAGCCCTCCAGAGCCGTACGGACTCCCAGCCTCGCAGCCCAGGGCCCATGCTGGGGCCCCTTACTCTAAAACTGGTAATAACTGGGTCTGCCTGCAGCATGGGCTCCGTTCTCCCACTCCTGGCTGGGAAGCCCACATCCCCCAACTGCATACCGGGCCCCACCCTTCACCCCACAGCCCCTGGCCCCAGGACGCTTTCTTCCCTCCGCAGCAGCCCGTCCTGCGAGAGCAGCACTCGAACCCGCAACGGCAGAAGGGGCGGGGGAGGAGAGAAAGAGGGCAGCACGGTTTCTACTGCTACTGCCAGGCACCGGGGGCCTACAAGCCGTGCGGCTTCCTGCCCCGCGCGAGGAGAGAGCTTGGCTTTATCTACAGCAGAGGAGGGCCAGCGGGGGCCGGGCCATTCGAGGAGGATCGCACAGAGAGAAGGGGCCAGGCAGGCAGCCACTACACCGCTCCCTAAAGAAAGACTGTCGGGTTAACCTACGGCCCACGGGCCCAGGCAGCGGCCAGCACCCGCCCCTGGAAGGGAAGATCCTCACCTTCTGCCCAGCGGGCCCAGGCTCAGCCGTGGGCACGGGGGTGCAGCCGCCCCGCTGGGATAGAGGCGCACGCAGCGCCCCCCGGACAGGACACAAGCAGCCCAGGCTGCGTCTGAACCCGCCCCCCCC